GTTGAAGCCTGAGCCAGGCGAAAGTAGGTGTGGGGTATAGGGTGTGTGTGTTGGTGTGGGGAGATGTGTTTCAGGCAAGAGGGTGACGTGTGCAGAAGCCTGGAATCCCAGGAGAGGCCCCCTTAAGACTTGGGAGTGATAAGAGATAGCACAGGCTGCACAGCCATGCAGGAGCCTCGCTGTCAGATAGGGGAAGCCATGGAGAGGTTCTGAGCCTGCAGACATCGTAATCAGATTTGGGTTTAGAAAGGTCATGCCGTGGAATGGAGAAAAGACCAGAGGGGCAAGGCTGGGGTTCCAGTTATTCCGGCAGGAGATGATGGGGACTTGCACAAGAGCAGGGGCTGGTCCAGAAAGAGAAAATTGCAGATTTCTAGAGATGTTCAGATAACGTTTTTCAAAAGATTTATTTAAAGGCACACAGAAAGAGAGAGAGATCTTCCATCTGCTAGTTCACTCCCCAAATGCCTCCAGCAGCTAGGGCTGGGCCAGGCTGACACCATGAGCCAGGAATTCCATCCAGGTCTCCCACATGTGTGGTGGCAGGAACTCAGTATTGGCCATTATCTCTTTCTTCCCAGGTACATTAGCTGGAAGCTGAGTGGGAAGTGGGGTAGCCAGGACTCCAGCTGGCACTCTGATATGGGATACAGGCATCCAAGCAGCAGCTTAAACTGCTGTGCTACAATATCTGCCCCTAGATAATATAGTTTACCTCTCATAAAATATGGGAGTCTGGCTCTGGGGAATGGGGAAAGAGGAAGAAAAAGAGAGACAATATCCCTTATGTTTCAGCGTTGGTTGGATAGATGGCGGTGCATTTTGAAAGAGAAAACGCAGGTCTGATAAGAGGAAAATTAGTTCAGTTATGAACCTGTTGAATTTGATGAACCCATGGGATATGCAGGGGGGGCCAAGAAGTAGGATGTGCAAGTCTCAAGTCCCAAGCAGACTTTTGAGCAATAGTTAAACATCTGAGGTTCACCAGCAAACAGATGGTAACTGACACTATGGGGCTGGATATTAATTGTTAGGGAATGATTATAAAGTGAGGAAGAGTAAGGTCCGGGACCAAGCCAAGGGATGCCGAATTTGAAAGAGGATGGAGGAAGGATTCCATGGAAGAGCCTGGAAAGCAGGATTGGCAGGAGAAAAGACAGGAGGGGAGGGCTGTTCCTGAATTCTGGAGATTGTGTCTGGGAATGAAGAGGGTGCCCCCTGTTCTAACCCGGATGGAACAAGGCAAATGAATGACCTCTACCAGGGGACTGCAAAGGAAGTTGTAGCTTCCTCAAGGGAGACTCACCCTTGATGCAGGCGAGGTGGAATTCTTTCAGAGAAGAGCCTGAGGAAAGAGAGGTGCTCCTTTATGACAGAAGAGGTTTCAGAGGTGTAGTGGCAGGTTGGGAGCAAGTGCCCAGAGCAGCCTGGAGATGTGGATGGGGCAGCATGTCTCCTCCATACCTCGCTGTCCATCCTCCTGCCACCACCACAGTGCTCCTAGCACACCGGCAAGACAAAAACACCATCTCTCTGTATATGATAATAATCCAGACTTGCAGAACTCCATCCCATGGCCAGTTAGTCAATAAACTCCATACCATGGCCAGTTAGCACCCACTAGAGAAAGAAGCAGCCTTTTTCAAAATAAATCAAAACTGAAATACAGAGAGGGAACTTGACAAACACTGTGTGCTGCTGGGTATATCAGCAATGACTAAATAATAGACCAGGAAGTTTTTCCATAACTCAAGGCAAAATGACAAAAATGCAAAAAATGAAGTGGATTTTTAAAGTTATACATATTTAAGGCATACAACATGATGGTTTTTTTTCTATTTTATTTTTATTTTTATTTTTTATTTTTTGACAGGCAGAGTGGACAGTGAGAGAGAGAGACAGAGAGAAAGGTCTTCCTTTTGCCGTTGGTTCACCCTCCAATGGCCGCCACGGCCGGTGGGCTGTGGCCGGCGTACCGCGCTGATCCGATGGCAGGAGCCAGGTACTTCTCCTGGTTTCCCATGGGGTGCAGGGCCCAAGCACTTGGGCCATCCTCCACTGCACTCCCTGGCCACAGCAGAGAGCTGGCCTGGAAGAGGGGCAACTGGGACAGAATCCGGTGCCCCGACTGGGACTAGAACCTGTTGTGCCGGCACCGCAAGGTGGAGGATTAGCCTAGTGAGCTGCGGCGCTGGCCACAACATGATGTTTTGATATACACAGTGAAGTATTATAGTTATGTATTATAAAATAGAGTTGCCTTTCTTTGTGTGTGTGTGTGATTAGCATTCCTAAAATCTACTCTCTGATGCAATAATGTGGGTGAACTTAACATATTGAGTTTTTACACAGCGAAGTATACTCAACTTAAATAATTGCCCTTTGTTCTTTATTTTTAATTCCTTTATTTGAGAGGGAGAAGGAGAGAGAGAGAGAGAGATCATCCATCAGCTGGTTCATTCCCTAACTCTGTGTAACAGTCAGGACTGATCAGGCTGTTGGAACTCAATCCAGGTCTCCCACACAAGTGTCAAGGACCCAACTACCTGAGCCATCACCTGCTGCCTCCCAGGGTGTACTTTAGCAGGAAGCTGGAATCAGGAGGGGAGCCAAGACTGGACTCCAGGCACTCCTATAAGATGCAGGTATCCCAAGCAGCATGTTAACAACTAAGCCATCTGAATTATTTGATTATTATATTATTTCTTCACTTTTTCTGGCTGTTAAAATATTTTTATTTTATGAAATAAATAGCAGCTTATTCTGATGATTTCCCTTGGCAAGATAAAATGGTGGCAATTTATTGATTTTACAGGTCTTTGAAATCTCCAAATTTGGAAACCATTGATTTTAATACTTCGGAACATGTTCTTCACTATAATAAAATTCGTTTATGTTAATTAGGAATTAGGAAGGCAGGACCTAAATGTTACTTGATATAATAATCTTTCTGTCAGTTGCCAAGTAGCACCCACTAGCATCCCCTTTGGAACACAGTTTGGGGAAGCTAGGGAAGTGCCGGAACTCTGAGAACAAAGGGTTCTTCAATCAAATACACTTGGTCAACCTTGCATACCAAATCCCTCTCCAGAGTTTCACAATGCACATGTCACATGAAAGACGGACAAGTCCCAGAGTCAAGAAATCAATTTAAATGTTGTTCAGTGGTTGAAAAAATAATTTATCTTGCTGCAGGAAGAAACTCTGCTGGCACATGTAATTGACATCTCATGGAACATTCTTCTATTGGGACCAATTTGAGAAATATCTGAACAGTTGCTCTTGAACAATGACAGAATGTGTGCTGATATGCAGTAATATTATACCCAGATAGCCAAGGAAGTCCAACGAAAGCTGAAGCCTATTCAGGTTCAGTCATGTTTATTTTCTATAGCATATGGATTTTAAGATACTCGAGTCTGTTGGCCATGCTCAGTAGTAACAATAGCAAATACCTAGGTGGCATTTACATTGTTTCAGGCACAATCGTAAGCACTCCCGTATGCATTAACTCACTCATTCCTCAACACCACCTAGGAGAGAGGTACTATTGTTATCCTCATTTTATGAACAAAGGCATTGAGACACAGAGAGGTTAAGTCATTCGTCCAGGTTCATTCAGTTGAGTCCAGAGCTCTAGCTCCTGGCCACTTTGCTGCGCTTCTCTCTGATGGGCTCATTGTCACCTGCATGATCTGCTGGAGTGCACTTTCACCTCTGCACAGAACTGGCCACCTGAATCTATTCAATCCAGTAGATTGAATGACAGATGGAGATGCACTTCAGCTACCCACCAGGAGTCCGCCTGACTGTGTTTCTCAGGCGTGGAGCTACCACAAGACTCTCTGGACTTTACACAGGCTTTGCAAATAGCAGCAGTCCAGGAGAACTTGGAAAGGGTACTTGGAAAGGGTTCACCAAGGTGTGGACACTATACTTCTGAGGAACCAGCAACTCAGGAGAAGGGTCTACCTCCAGCCAGGAAGGAGTTGGCCAAGATCAATTTGCAGGTCTGAATTTATTCTCAGAGATATTGTGCACCCCAGGGAGAGGCATTGTTTTCAAGGCCCTTGCACAAAGGTTGCTAGGCAGTGTTTAGGCTGGAACTGGCTAGCATTTGAGAATGGTGGAGGACAGAGGTGCTGATGGTCAGGGCCAGATATTAGGGCCTAATGATCCACCACTTAGTTCTTAGGATGCCACATGCAACTAACCTTTCATTACAGAAGAAATAAAATTCTACTTTTCTGCCCCTTAGGAAAGTGCTTACATGAAACTAGTGACTAAACAGGTTCCAGTAAAGCAATTACTATATGCCACTCTGAGAGTTCAGTGAATTGGTAATAACTAAGAAATGAGTAGGGGTGGACATTTTGATGTATCGGGTTAAGCTGCTGCTTGGGATGCCTGCATCCTATGTAGAATGCCTGGGATCCAGTCCCAGTTTCTCTGCCTTCTTTAAAAGATTTATTTATTTATTTGAGAGGCAGAGTTACAGACAGAGGAAGAGACAGAGAAAGGTCTTCTATCTGCTCGTTGGTTCACTTCTCAAATGGTTACAATGGCCGAAGCTGGGCCAATCCGAAGTCAGGAGCCAGGAGCTTCTTCAAGATTTCCCACGTGGGTGCAAGGGCCCAAGCACTTGGCCATCTTCCACTGCTTTCCCAGGCCATTAGCAGGGAGCTGAATTGGAAGTTGAGCAACTGAGGCAGGAACAGGCGCCCATATGTAATGCCCAGGGCCACAGGTAGATGTTTAATCTACTATGCCACAGTGCTGGCCCTGCTTCTGTGTTTCTGGTTTAGCTTCCTGGAATGCATACCCTTGTAGACTGAAGTGATGGATCCTACCATGTGGAGAACTGGATTTAGTTATAGATTACTGGCTTTAGCCTGGCCCAACCCTGGCTGTTGTGAACATTTGTGGAGTGAAACAGCAGATGGAAGATCTCTGTGTTTCTCTCTTTCTCACTTGCTCTCTCTCTTTCTCTGCCTTTAAAGTAAATAGACTAAGAAGATGATGACACTGATGAAGAAGAAGATGAAGGTGATGACAACAATGATAAAGCAGCAGCAGCAGCTGTTAGCAGGTATGGAAAACTTTCAGTATGAATTTAAGTCCAAGATTTTTCTTTTCCTCTTTTATGACCAAGTTACATTGGGCACAAACACTTCCAAGTACCTCTGGATGCTATCGGAGTTCATCCTGTACTTCACTGATAGGAAATTCAGGACAACAAAGCCGATTCTCCTCCTCCTCCTCCTCCTCTTCCATCTTCTCTCTCTCTCTCTCTGTGTGTGTGTGTGTGTGTGTGTAAGGGAGGGAAGTGGAACCTTTAATTTAAAGGAATTAAAGCAAGAATTAAATTTTAAGAAAGTCTATAGAGTGGCGTTGAAATTAAAGCCATATTTATTGAATAGCAAACATACTTTAAACAAAACCATATATCACTGTTAATTACACAAAAACACAAATAGAAGAACTAAATCTATTTGGCTAATTTGGAGAGTGAGAAAGGTGTGGAAATGGGCAGCTATCTGTCCCTAGGATATTGGCAATAAAGTCCAAGGATGGAAGGATAGAAAATTTTCTCTTCCATGAGTTTTTTATTTGTTGCCTCAAATTAAACTTTGCTTCATATTATCTTGGTTGTAATCCTTTCCCACTTAAATGACAGGAGAACTTTCAGTTTTTCACAGCTGTGAATGGCCAGCCTGCGTGTGAAATGGTAGTGTGTCTTTGTAATCGCTTGACAAATCACACTGAGATAAAAACACCTTGTTCATTCAGAGATGGAGTGAAGTATTTGGGGGTCAAAACTGGTTCACAGACCATTTGCTGATAAATTCCTTGTTTCAGAGGAATTCTAGCTTCTGAGAAATGCCCACCTAGTCTTAGGGTTTCCAGTTGGTTTTTACTTAATAATCGCACATGAAAACGCCACTTTATTTCACTTACCAAAGATGACTTCTAAGACCATGGATGATAAAAGACAGATTGGCAAGGGAAGTTGGGAGTATCTTTCTCAACTATCTTAGGACAAGAAAAATTTAACCCATGAGTCACTAAATGCAGCCAGACCTGAAGTCAAGATGTACAGACTACCCATCTGGGCCACTTCTGATTTTGTGGTTCAGCCCAATCTTAAACACAGAAATGAGTCTGTTTTATGACAGAGCAAAATAAAGCAGAAAAACCATAGCTATTGCCAGATAAATTAGGATCAACAGTCCATTATTTTCCTGATTATTGGCATTCTTGTAAAAAACTGGCCGGCGCCATGGCTCACTAGGCTAATCCTCCACCTGCAGCGCCGGCACCCTGGATTATAGTCCAGGTTGGGGCACCAGGTACTAGTCCTGGTTGCTCCTCTTCCAGTCCAGCTCTCTGCTGTTGCCCGGGAGGGCAGTGGAGGATGACCCAAGTGCTTGGGCTCCTGAACCCGCATGGGAGACTGGGAGGAAGTACCCGGCTCCTGGCTTCGGATTGGCGCAGCGCCAGCTGTAGTAGCCATTAGGGGAGTGAAACAACGGAAGGAAGACCTTTCTCTCTGTCTCTTTCTCACTGTCTATAACTCTCTGTCTCTCTCTTTCACTGTCTAACTCTGCCTGGCAAAAAAGAAAGAAAGAAAGAGAGAAAGCCCATAGACGTCTTCAACTACGTACTCATGTCTGTTATTCTCGGAATAGCTTTATAGCCTAGTTAGTGCCTTTCTTGGCATTCATTTGATTCTGCTTTATTTGTAGATAAGGATGTTTAGAAACGCTTGCTTAAGAGCATAACAGGAATTTTACATGTGTAGGGAAAATGCCCCGAGAGCACAGCAGGCGTTTTCTGCTCATTCTCCAAGGCCCAGCGGCAAGGTCACCTTCATGGGCAGCTTTCTCAGCTGTACTCAGTTGTCGTCTCCTCCCTGCTCCCACAGTACTGAGTCTGGACCTCTCTTGCATTACTTTTTTTTTTTTTTTAATTCCTTCTGTGTAATTCTTTGCTTCCCTCCAAGCTGGGAACCCTTTGGAAGCAGAGACCTTGTGGTAGTCATTGTGTCTCCAGCACCTAGCAATGTGTGGCATGTAGTAAGCACACAGTAGTTACTGTTGATTGAGAATCCTTCCAGTGGTGGGAGGGGAAACTAGGTTTGGGTTGCAGATACAGTTGCAAAGGAGACTGGAGCTGTTTGAGACTTCCTTTTTGTCCTTAGCTTATCTGGTAGTTGTGCTGTTCAAAAAGCCAGTCCATTCTGAATTTTGATGCACGATATTTCTAGTCTTCTCACAACTCTCAGATAATAGAGCTTTGGTTTTACTGAACTGAATTTGAAGCTGGAGGCTACAGTCTTACATAAAGACTCGGAGGGAGTAATGTCTGGAACATGGCAGGATAGTTGGTCCCAGGCTTCAGTTCTCCCCATAGGAAAGTTCAGCTAGCAGCTATCCACAGACCAGAACACCTTGATGAAAAATCCCAAACTGGAGAATGAGACTGAGGACCCTGTGTGGATCAGAACTCGTGGGGGAACGGGGGAATCACACACACACGGAAGGGTGGGAGGAGTGGTCTCCCTTTGACTGCATCAGCCCTCCCCCAGGTTGGCACAGTATCCTGCAGAGAGGGTTCCTCTGGGTCTGTGGTTTCTGTTGCAGGGAAAGGAGCCTGGGTGGACATCCAGCTTCCCAGAACTCTTCGAGGCCTACTCCCTCCTCACTTCTTGGGAGACACTGGGGGTAATGGCAGACCTAGACCATCTGGGGTCAGATAGAGACAAAGAAAGAGTGTAGGGTTCACAGTGACCACCATGAGGGTGGTGTTCCTGCCAGCAGTTGTGCCAGATCAGAGATGCTGGACAATGGCTTAGCCCACCTGCAGAGGTGAGTGGGTCACTTCCAGGAGCCTGGTGAGTTCTACCTGTCTTAAGTCCCCAGCTAGCCACATGCCTACCCTTCCTTATGCCACAGCCTCATGGCTTCACCCAAGTAGGAAGAAGCAGCCCTCATATATTTCTACAGAGCACAGAAGCTTGCCTTGCCTGACTGGGCTTCCAAATAGTGACTCAACCCAGCCTCAGAACCTACCTGAAAGCTCCACCAGGCAAGGAGGCAAGTCTTCTCCCTGCGTTTCTGTGCAGCCTTGCCTCTGCTCCCACCTTGTCCTGAGCAAAGGCTCAGCCTAAGCTTGCAGCCTCGTCTGCAGTCCTGTCCAACCGCAGAATCCAGGTCATGGTACTGCCTGGCCAAGGAACACAGTGTGTGACCCTGCTTGGTCAGAGGCCGCTGTGGTGCCTCACTAGTAGCTCTGCTGACCCCAGAGCCCAGCCAGCGGTCTCACTGAACAGTGCTGTCCAGCCAGCAGCCCCATCCAACTTCTGAGCAGCGACAGGAACCCAGCACAACTAGAGAACCCAGCAGTAAGTTGTGTCTACCCATGGCCGTCTTCAGCTGATTCTCAAGCTAGACTGAACAGTGAAGGTCTGTCCCTGCCGAAAACACCTGTAAAGGTCAGAGGAGGTAGCTGCTTCTTCAGACACACAGACATCAACGCACAGACACAGGATTACAGAGTCAGGAAATCATGGTAACAACCAGAAGAAACTAACGAAGCTTCAGTACTGCACTGGGAGGAAATGGAGGCGCACAGGGACTGCAAGTGAAAGAATGGAAAGAGATATTCCAAATATTAAAGTACAAATGGACTTTAAGTCACAAACTGTAAAAAGAAACAGAGAAAGTCATTATATAATGATAAAGGAGTCAATTCATCAAGAAGATACAACAATTATATAAGCACCGAACATGGGAACACCTAAATGTATAAAGTAAATATTAGTTGATCTGAAAGAAGAGATTTCAGTATAATAATAGCAGGGGACTTCAGCACCCGTTTTTCAACAAGGGATAAATTATCCAGGCAGAAAATTAATATGGAAATGTTGGACTTGAACTATACATCAGACAATACAGAACAGCAACAGAATACACATTCTTAGGTGAGCATGAAATGATCCAGTTGGGTCATTTGTTAGGCTACAAAAAAGTCTGAATGAATTCAAGAGTACTGAAGACATATCAAGTATCTTTTCTTACCACAAGGGTATGAAATTATAAATCAGTAACAGGAAAAATTTTGGAAACTTCACAAATACGGGAACTTAAAACATGCTCCTGAACAACCAGTGGATCACAGAGGAAGCCAAAAGAGAAATAAACAATTATCTAAAGCAAACTAAAATGGAAAGCCAAGGGCAATGTTTGGTGGCTACAACAGCTGGGGCGGGGCCAGAGCCAGGAGCTAGAAACTCAATCCTGGTCTCCCACATGGGTGGCGGGAACCCAATTACTTGAGCCATAATTGCTGCTTGGCAAGATCTGCACTGGTAGGAAGCTGGAACCCGGAACTGGAGCTGGCATTGAACCCAGGCCCTACAAAGGGGGACGTAAGCATCTTAACAGCTAGGCTAAATACCCACTTCGGCTATTTGTCTTTTTTATAAAAATAGAGGAACTATACTTTTTTAAAAAACCGTTGATTTATTCATTGAAAAAAATTTTTTAAAAAGGGGGGAGAGAGAGAGAGACAGACAGACAGACAGACACCACTTCTATCTACTGGTTCACTCCTCAAATGCCCTCAGCTGCCAGGGCTGGACCAGGCCAAAACTGGGAGTCAGAAACTCCATCTAGGTCTCTCACGTTGGTGATGGGGACTGAAGTATCTGACCCCTCATTTGCTGCGTCCCAGATGCATTGGCAGGAAGCTGGATTGGCAGCAGAGATGGGGGTTGATTCAGGCACTCTGACATGGGATGTGGGCATCCCAAGTGGTGGCTTAACCTGCTGCACCACACCCTGCCCCTGTTGTTTTCTTTTTGATTAGAGTCACTCTAGTGGGTGTAAGGTGGTTTGGCTCTGAGGGCTAATGATGTTGGCCATTTTTTTTCATGTGTTTATTAGGCATTTGTTCCCCTTTTTTCCCAGAAATTTTATTTAGATGTTTTAAAATTAGGTTGTCTTATTATTGAATTGTAAGTTTTCCTTATATAAGTTTTCTGATTTGCAAATATTTTTCCCACTTTGTGGGTTGTCTCTTCATTTT